TTGTGTATTTAGGGAGAATAGCTTTAAGTGAAAAAAGAAAACAACTTTGTCTTTATACTTCTGTGCACATTTAATTAAAGTAATGGAATACTAGAAAATTTAGTATGACTTTAGTAAACAATATTTTACATTTTGTGCTCAACAACATTCACAGGAATTGAAAAATTTCCTGGAATTATTATATTTATGTTTTAAAGTAGGATCAAAAATAATCATTTTTGACATTTAACTTTGTAAACCTCGACCTTTCACTCAAACCATATTAAATTTATGTTATGCAAACTATTTGACTTTAAGCAGGCAGAGAACATTTTTAATCTTATAATCCGTAAAATATTGCCTAATTTAAATCTTTTGTAAAACGTATGCGGAAGCCTTTATAACCCTACTTATGGGATTTATGTTCCTAAACGGATTAACAAGACTTAACATATGTCATTCTACCCGCAATCAAACTGCAAAAGAGCAGTTTTTTTCTTTAAATACGCGTTTTTCGTTTTGCCAGTCTAAATTACAGTTTTTTTTCTACAAAAAAATATGCTTTGATAACAATAATAAACACACAAAATGATGATATTTTATATTTTATAATGGCATGTTTATACACAGTAAAAAAAAATCAAAATCCCCAAGTAAGCAAGTATGATTTAACACTATAGCACTGAGGATAAAGTAATTTTACACTGTTTTAAAAAGTGTTAATTTACCTAAAATCGTGTACTTCTAGACTTCCTGGGTAAAATCCCACTTGTTCAGTGTAAATTACCACTACTTTGGAAAAGTTCTAATTTTAGAAAGGTACTTTTACTCTTTTAGTGCAAACTTCTAGTGTAAATTAACACTATTATTTGAGTAAAACCTATTGGTGGTAGTGAATAAAACGAAAAGGTAAATAAAGAGAAACATTTATTTGGAGCAAAAATCTATGACAATAATTATTATCAAAATCGGTGCCTTTTAAAATATAATTTTTTATTTGAATCGTATGGCTGGCTTAAGCAAAATGGTTCCTTAAAACGTAAAAGTTTTATATCAATGCAATGTTTTACTGGCTGTCAACTTGTAAGCAATGAATTATCTTGAGAATTTGTTGTTTTTAATAATAATAATATGCATATTATGCCACTTTTTGCTATTTTTAATATTAATATGTCTATTTTATCATATAATATGTCTATAGTATCATATATTTTAAATACTCCACTAATGAACTGACTATACACAAGGTAAAATGATACGGCAAATCGACATATTTCCCCTGAAAAAAGAAAACAGGTCATCTATACAAAATATAGCGAATAGGCAGGTATATGCCTATCCCTATTACTAGAGCCCTCTATTGGCCGGGCGACAAACTACAAAATATAGGGGTGAATTACTAAATAGATTTTTAACCCTCGTTTTGTAAAAGTTTTGTCAATTTAAGTGAAGATATCTTTTTGTTAAATGCAGTTTTCTATGACACATAGAAACCCGTAATTTGTTTTTTTATTATTTTCTATCAAAAAACTTAAAAGTTCCTCTGTCCAACCTTGTTATTATTTTATTAATTCTTTAAATAGGAATAATAAAACACAAATGTCTATTTTCATACTAAAATTATTGACTTCAATCCATTTATAATTAAGAATACAGTTTATAATTTAAATTTAAACTTTATATAAAATCCATAAGTAGCTTAAAAGCTATTTACTTAAAGAGGATTTTTTTTCTTCTTTTTGTTTCGTTTTTATATTTATTTTTATATGGTTTTAAAATTCCTTTATTTAACTATAAGTAACTTTCAAATTGAAAGAAGAAAAAGTTTCGTGATTATTGCTCATCTTTTTCAAAATAATTGGATGCTATTTTCAAAGACAGGAAAATTACCTATTTTTGACAAAAAGGTAAACCTTTGACCTGGTTAGCTGAAAATAATGTGTTATTTAATATTTGTAAAAAACCAAAAACGTAACTTTTTCTACCATTAAGGCATTTGGCATAACTTCATCGAAATGAAATTTTGCCCCTAAAAGTTCTTTTACTTTAGAATCTTTAGCATAGTTTTTATATCGATATTATATAATAATTAACAAGTAAATTATAAATAATAAATGTTACTGTCATTTGACAGCGTCAGAGTATTTCATTAAGGTCTTCAGCAGAAGTACCATTTTTTAAATTCTAAAAATAAATAAATATAATATAATTTCAATATATTATACATCTAGCGCCATCTATATTTTAGTAGATTAACTTTAATAATAATAGGTTTATTTAAAAGTTTCGGCTACAGAAATATAGATGGCAATAATATTATTAAAGTTTATTAAATGTATTATAATTTTATTAACAAAACTAATAATTATTTGATAAATTAATAAATGTACTTACCTTTATTTAACTTACATCCCGGATATTCTTTTTGTATTTAAATTTTAAAATCCATAGAAATGTTCGAAATAAAATATTTTTGTTGTTTTGGTTTTTTGGCCTTTTTTACTCATGTTTTGGAAGGAATAAATTATAAAAATCTTATAAATACATAAATTTTATTTGCAATAAATACATAAATACGAAAATTTACTGATATACATTTGCGTAACATTTTTTGTCATAACAAAAATTAAAACTTTGTACATAAAACGTAAAAACAATTATTAGCAAGCTCTAATTTGTATTTGTATTAAATAGTTTATTGATTTACCTATAAAAATAAGCAAAATAAATGAATTAAAATATAATTTGACTAAAAAAAATATCACAACAATTAAATTTGGTTTTGGTAACTTTTAAAGTATACTTAAAATAAGAAAAAAATAAAAAAATATATATAAGCTTTCGTAGAAGTGTCCTAGTGCATATTTATATTACTTACAAAACAACAAGTCTACACCTACGGACTTAGATATTTATGTATATTCACAAATAGAGCAATATAAATGTAAAATTTCTTTTACTCACAACTAGACATTTGTAGTTGTATACATAAAGAATAATTACGAGTTTCTCTATGATTTTATGAAGATTATTTTTTTCTTGTTACATTATGACTAGATTAATGACTATAACAACCCAACCTTTTTTTTTCAACAACGTTCAGTCTCTTTTCTACCCGCAACTAAGATTTTTGATCGAAATGCTTTTTGCAATTTGCCTAAAAACTAATTTTCAATTAATATATATTTTGGATATATTTTTGGGCATTACAAAGTCAAATTACACTGGACAATATTATAGGCGAATTAATGCCCTTTATATCTAATGAAATTTTTTTTTAATAGAAAAATTTATTCCAATTATGTATTAAAAATATGCATTATTTATCTAATAAAAAAAATTATCTAATGGAAAAATGTTATTATATGTATAAGAAATATCAAATGAAATATGCGAATGTGAATATGAAACTATTTTTATTACATATTTATCTAATGAAAAAAAAATTTATTTGGTAAAAATGAAATGGAAAAATAACAATATAATTTGTAAAAAAACATCCATTGAAAAAATTTTAATATATAAGAAAAAAATACAATTTTTATCTAATGAAAAATACTTTTTTCAATAGAAAAATGTAATCCATGGGATTTTTTTTATTAAAAAAAATTATGTAATAAAAATAGCATTAACCTAATGAAAACAAATTCTAATAAAATTTGAAAAAGAGAAATTGAAGAAAAACATGTGAAAAAAAATTTTTAATGAAAGAAATTATTATATTTTTATCTAATAAAAAACCAATTAAAAATGATTTTTATGTAATAAAAATGTTTAATTAGAAAAATTTAATCCTTAAAAATATTTGGATAATTTATGTAATAAAAAAATATTTTATCTAGTACAAAAAATTAATATAAAAATAAGATTCCTACAATAAAATATGTAGAAAAATATCCAATGAAAAAATGTTAATTTGTGCGAAAAAACCCACTTTTTATCTAATGAAAAATATTTATTTATCCAATGAAAAAGTTTATCTAATGAAATATGCTATATTATTTTAAAAGTTCCTAATGAAAAAAAATATTTAATGAAGAATGTATTCATCCAATGAAAAAAATTTTAATAAAATTTGTAATAAAAATATCAAACAAAAACGTGTTTTTTAATCCAAAGGAAAATATTTTTTAATAAAAGAAATGATTACATTTGTTTAAATATAAATAGAATATTTGGATTATTTATCTAATAAAAATTTTTTTTATCTAGGACAAAAATTTAATACAAAAATTAGATACAATAAAATATATAAAAAAATATTCAACAAAAAAATTTTAAAATAAAACTTTTTATAAATGTAATGAAAAATATTTATTTCAATAGAAAAACTTAATCGATTGGAATAATTTTATTAAAAAAATGCACTATTTATCTAATGGAAACATGTTTTTATTATTATAACATTTTTTTAAATATGTAAAAGGAATACCAAATAAAATATGCTATATTAGAAAAAAAATTAAAAACAAAAAGGTGTTATTTTATCCAGGAAAAATATTCATTATTTATCTAATGAAAAAATGTTAATATATGAGAAAAAAATGCACTTTATATCTAATGAAAAATAATTATTTAATTAATTAAAAAATACCAAATGAAATATGTTATTTTATTTGTAAAATGTTTTATTTACTAAAAAAATATATAATGGAAAAATTGGATGTAATAAAATTTGTAAAAAAACATCCAATGAAAAAATTTGAATACATGCAATTTTTATATAAAGAAAAATACTTTTTTCAATAGAAAAATGTAATCCATAGAAATATTTTAAGAAATTGTTTTTTATGCAAAGGAAATATATTTTTTAATAAAAGAAATTATTATGTTTATATCTAATTAGCTAATAAAAAAACAATTTCAAAAAAATTTAAAAATGCTTTTTTAATCTAATTTGCATTCTTTTTCTAATAAAAAAATCCCAACAAAAAGAACAATAAAAACCTTGGAAAAATAACTTATTTGTCCAGTGCAAAATGAGTTAATTATCAATATTTAAACATTACTCACCTTCAGTCTTAACTGGAAGATATTATATTCGAATCTTGATATGATACTTCAATATTGCACTGATTTTCGTAATAATCATCATCATCGTCGTCCGCAAACTTGATCTCATCGAGAATGTTGCTGTTCAAACTGGGAGATTTTTCCACCTTCGTCTCTTTCTCCATGTCCTTGATGCTGTTTGTGTTCGAGTTGAGTTTTCCTTTCGGCATTTCGTGCACCTGAACCGAGTGCTTGTTGTCCGTCATTAGAGGCAAGTTTTCGTACTTTTCTTTATTCTCTGTGTAGGGGTGTACTTTTTTGTTCTTCGCCCTCATCAACGGCGAAGATTTCGGTGTTGTTACGAGGCGATTTTTTGGCAGCAACATCTCCTCTTCCGGGGACTCCTGATTGCTCCCAGGATCCACGTACACTTTGGGAGTTATATCCCCCATCTCCACATCCTCCGGGAGGATTTCCCCGCTTTCATCTAGAGGCGGAATCCACACCAAAAACGCCGGATCCATCCCCAAGTAGGACCCGGGCGCCGCCCCTGCATTAGTCACGTTGTAATCGTAATAATCCATCTCCATATCCGTGTCGGTTCCGTTTATAGAAAACTCGGAACCCGTCGGACCGGCCAGAAGTCGCTCGCGGTTTTTCCGGTCCTTACTCTCTTTCACGTTGGTACTGCGGATGGTGGCGGTACTGACTATGCTAGCCGCCGGGGAATAACAACCCTGCGCAAAGCGGGAAAAACGAAATAATTACGAGTTACAAGTGCGATTGGAAGTGCTCAAAAAGTGCTCAGGTGTTTCCACGCCAATAAATCGACAAAAGAAAAAAAATAGTGAATAATACTGCAAATAAAAGAAGGTTAAGATAAAAAAAATACTTCACCGGATCACTTTTCGAGCACCGCGAGGACGAAGCTCTCACATTCGTCAAGTTGGCGGCACTGACGTTACTTAAACTTCTCTCCCTGTCGGACTTTATTTTTATCTCCTGGTCCTTTTCCTTCTCGTCGGAACGATCCTTGTCGCTGTTTATCGACTCTTCGGGAGAGTTCGGGACGCTTTCCGCCTCGCCGATCGGCGCGCCCGCCGTCAGCGCGGTTTCTTGCTGCGTCAGCGTGGTAGTACTGCAACAGCTCAGGGTGTCTTCTTCCTTACTTAAAGTGAAAATTTAGTAAAAAACAATCATTTTATCCATTTTTATCTAATGAGAATTTTATCTAATGGAAATTTTATCCAATGAGAATTTTATCCAGTGAAAATTTTATCTAATGAGAATTTTTATCCAGTGGGAATTTTATCTAATGAGAATTTTATCCAGTGGGAATTTTATCCTATGGAAATTTTATCCTATGGAAATTTTATCTAATGAGAATTTTGTCCTATGGAAATTTTATCCAGTGGAAATTTTATCTAATGGGAATTTTATCCAGTGGAAATTTTATCCAATGGGAATTTTATCCAGTGGGAATTTTATCTAATGAGAATTTTATCCAGTGGGAATTTTATCCCGTGGAAATTTTATCTAATGAGAAATTTATCCAGTGGGAATTTTATCTAATGAAAATTTTATCCAGTGAAAATTTTATCTAATGAGAATTTTATCCAATGAGAAAAATGCATTTTTTAACTAATGAAAAAACTTACGCCAAAGTGACTTCCTGCTCCTCCGTCTCGCAATCCATCGATTCCCTGAGCCTCGCGTGCTTGTTCCTCTGTTTCATGTGCGGTCTCAGTCTCGTGAGCGAAATTACTTCCGATAGGAGCGTCGCGTTGGACGAGGCCCGCGTCGTCAGCGGCAAACTTGCGTTCGAAGCTGCAAAAGTAAAAAAAATGTATGCGGCAAACACTTTACGTTTAGATTTTATCCGCGCTTTAATTTGAATGCAAGTTTTTCCAAGTTCTCTGTCGGGTGGAAAGGTTTCTACTTAAGGGGGCATTCTGCCTGAAGCAGGATTTGGTTCGTTACATTTTTTTTACTATTTCTAAGATTTTTACAAACATTTTTATTGTTTGTCTTTATACTTTTATTTTAAAGAGTTATATTTAGTTATTATTTGGACAGATTTAGCATAGAATAAATAGGATAAAATTAATAAATAATAAATTCAAACATTTTGATATTAAAATTATTAAATTTATAATTCAAACATTTTGATATTTCGGTACTTCTGATAAGAGTTCTACTTTAGTTTTTACTAAACTTTTTAGACAGATTTATATGGCACGCCGTTTTAACATTTATTAAATAATTTTTTAATTTAAAATTTTATTGGTTTAAAATTTTCATAACTAAAAATTTTAGGTTTACATTTAAAAATTTATAATATCATGTATTGAAAGACAAAATTTACTAACCAATAGTTCACTTCTGTATTAAACAATATTATTTTCTATCAATTTTTGCAAAAATTTTTAACTATCATTTTTTAATAAAAATAATTTCTCAAGTATAATTTATTTGGGTGGCATTTTGTTAACTTAAATAAATATTTTATAAAATTATTGAGATTAATTTAGTAAAGTTAAATTTTTGTAAACTCAAAACTATTGATAATCAAAAAATATTTTAAATATAAAATGCAACTATAAAAGTTTAAGTTTAAAAATATTAATTTTAAAAAAATGGAATTTGAATATGTTTAATTGTATAATCCATTTTAGCAGTGGGATTTTAATATTGTAAATAAAATTAAATTAGGCACTTCCCTGCTGTAAATTTTTTTATTTTATTTTAATAACCGACCGGTTTCGCCTTACGGCATCTTCAGGGTTTCTACAAGAATGGTATAAAGATATATGCTAATATAGAGATTTAAAATATTACTTACACGTCAAAATTATAAAAATATACGTTTATCAGACATTAGAACAAGTATAACATGTATTATGGACATTACAGATATAAATATAATTAAAACATATTAAAATTTTTGTTAATTAAAGCTTGCATAAAAAATTAAAATTAAAATTTAGTAAAAGTTAGTTAAGGTTATGTTGTTATTATTGTTTTAGGTTTGCGTTGAGTGAAGAAGTCAATGATCTAACCTAAAACAATAATAACAACATAACCTTAACTTTTACTAAATTTTAATTTTAATTTTTTATTCAAGCTTTAATTAACAAAAATTTTAATGTGTTTTAATTATATTTATATCTGTAATGTCCATAATACATGTTATACTTGTTCTAATGTCTGACAAACGTATATTTTTATAATTTTGACGTGTAAGTAATATTTTAAATCTCTATATTAGCATATATCTTTATACCATTCTTGTAGAAACCCTGAAGATGCCGTAAGGCGAAACCGGTCGGTTATTAAAATAAAATAAAAAAATCTACAGCAGGGAAGTGCCTAATTTAATTTTATTTACAATATGGAATTTGAATATTTTATTCTTCAAAATTATTTTTTTGAATTTGTAAAGAGTCATTTAAATGATAGTCGATATATTTTCAATAAAAAAATTTGAACATTACATTTAAATATTTTAAATTTTAAAGTAGTAATTTTTAACAATTTTAAATTGATACATTTTTAAGACAAAATTTATAATTTTACATTTAAATGTAAGTCGATAATTTTTAAATTACAAAGTGTAAACGTAGCTTTAGTAGAAGGCACAAGAGTCTGGGATCGGAGCCACGATGCAGCCAGTTTGATCCGCAGTGTTGCCAAATCGTGCTTGCTCCATAAATATTTGACGCGTTTTACAAATTATCGTAATGAAATGTTTCTTTATTACATAAATTTAATAATAGAACAACAACATTTTTAGTGCCTATTGTTAAAAAAAACATCAACGGATCAAACTGGCTGCGATCCCAGACTCTTTTGCCTTCTACTAAAGCTACGTTTACACTTTGTAATTTAAAAATTATCGACTTACATTTAAATGTAAAGTTATAAATTGTACAAAATAAAAAATTTTGGTTTAAATTTAAAGAGTCATTTAATCCAAACATTACTACTTTAAAATTTAAAACTTATATTTAATGTGAGAATTTTTATATTAAAAATGTATCAACTATCATTTAAATGACTCTTTAAAAATTTAAACCAATAATTTTTTAGAATAAAATATTACAACCAAAACTTTTAAAAATCAATATTTTTAAACATAAATTTTTAGTGTTGCATTTTATGTTTAAAATATTTTTTGACTATCAATTGTTTTGAGTTTAAAAAAATTGAACTGTTTCTATTAAAACATAATTTAAGTGCTTAACTTTAATCTTTAAACTTTTATCTAATAAATGGTAAAACGGCGTGCCATAGATTTAGCATAGTATAAATAGGATAAAATTAATAAATAATACATTCAAATATTTTGATATTAAAATTATTAAATAATAAACTCAAACATAACTAAACCTATAACTACGCTGTGTTCTTTATATATGGTAGTTTATCAAGTATCAAAGATGAATAATCTTTTGTATGGCATTCAAAATTTAAACCTAACTTCTAGAAGTGTCGAAGGTCCCAAAATTATAAGAAAAAACGAAGCGTTTCTGAAGAACCTGCTGAAATTTGCACCGGAGTTTAAGATGTGGAGGAATCAGACGTTCGATAGACCGTTTCATTTGGTTTTGGATGATTTTTCAAATGTTACTCACCACTTTAATAAATCTAACACCTCCAGAAAGGAGCCGCATGTTGCTTTTAAACATGTTTTTTGTATTGAAAATCCGTTCCTTTTGGCGCAGTTTCGTTTAAAGAAAGTTCAGATGATTAAACGAAATGGTACAGTGGTAAATAAGAACTATTTTCATGGAACAAAAGGGAAAAATTTGGAGCCCATTTGACAGACAAAAGTTTGATACTACTACAAATGGAAAGGGGAAAGTATTCGTAAAATACGAAGATTTTGAATATTATCCTCAATTTCTTATTTTAATGACATCGAATGTTAATATTAACGAAGATTTTAATTTTTTTGAGAGTGTTTTTGATAATAATTATAATACATTAGATATTGTATATGATAATGATGATCGCCAGTATTTTAATTTTGTTGAGAGTGATTTTGATAATAATGATAATACAATAAATATTGTATTTGATGATGATCGCCAGCATTTCGATGAATATGGTAATCTAATAATAAGGGATGGTAGCATCTATGATCTTTAAATAATAAACCTTACAATGAATAATATATGTTTGTATTGTGTTTTTTGTTGACATAAGTACGTAGTATATTTTATAACAAGATTTATAATAAAAAATAAAAAATAACAACGTTTTTTTTTTCAAGCGTATTTTTTAAAATGAAAAATATTTGTAAACGAATATTTGTATCTAATAAAAAATTATAAAAAACACTAAATTAGAAATATTTGTTTTAATAAAAATGTACCTATCCAATGAAAAAATATTTTTATTCATTGAAAAAGAATTTATCAAATAAAAAACATTTTTAATTGAAAAAAATATATATATATATATATATATATAATAATATATATATTTTATTAAATAAAAATACATTTTTATCTAATAGAAAAATATTTGTAAAGAAATATTTATATCTAATAAAAAATCACAAGAAAATAAATTTTTTGAATAAAAAAAAATATCCAATGTAAAAATACATTTTTATCTAATGCATTTTTTTATCCAATGAACATTTCTTATCCAAAATATTAATCCAATGCAAATTTGTATCCAATGAAAATGCATTTTTATCCAATAATTTTTTTTAACTAATGAAAAAATTGAGGAAAAAATATACTTTTACAAAAATTATGTTGGATAAGTATAAAAAAACTACGAAACGCAACACGGTGCTGTTCTGAGAGGTGATTTTTGGACTTTCTGTGAAACCTAATTTTTTTTATATTCTTGTTAATTGGGTCATAACTAAAATTTTAAGAGCAAAATAAAAAAAATTTGACGGTTTGAATTGTTTTAATTGGCTGTTTATTAAAAATATTATGCACTCTTTCAATTATCCAATTAAAACTAGCGATTTAATTTAAATATTTAATATTTGCATAACTAAAAAAAGGTTTTTACAATTTTTTTATATATTTTACTGTTTTGTTACAATAAACGTTCAAACTTTTAATCTAACCTTTGACGTATACATTTATGTTCCCTTAATTAATATATCCTTAAAGGTTGCCATGAAACTTAGATCTATTAAAAATTTATTTGATTTTTGAATTGTCATTTTCAGTATACGTATTCTATAATTTTTGTTTAGTTTTTTAAAGTGTTTTTTATAAAAAAAATGAAAAATTGTAGTAAAAGTTACGAAGAAATTCATGAAATTGAACTAAGGACCGGTTTATTCATCTTTAGTAAAGTTTATCGGGCCGATAACTTTCATGTCTTGGCAATATCTAGTATCCAAAGAAATTATTCGTCAAATAAATCAAAAATGAATAAATCGGCCCTAAATAAAATGTGGCACCCTTAGAATTATTGTTTAATAAATGTATACTATACATTTAACCTTAAATTAAAACTTTAAACGTGTATTACAACAAAACAGTAAAAGATATAAAAAATGTATAGACCTTTTTTTAGGAAATTAACTAATCTTTAATCTGATTTAAAAAGTTATGATAATATTTAAATAAAATCGCAAGTTTTAATTGGAGAATTGAAAGTGTGCATACATATTTTTAATAAACATCCAATTAAAATAAAATTAACCGTCAAATTTTTTTTATTTTGCTCTTAAAATTTTAGTTATGACCTAATTAACAAGAATATAAAAAAAATTAGGTTTCACAGAAAGTCCAAAAATCACCTCTCAGAACAGCACCGTGGCAAGCTTTAACTTTTAAAGTCGCCAATGAAAGCGCAGCATTATCGATTTATATTCTTAGTTGCCTACCTACATTCGTACGACAGAGCAGATAGAGGACCCCTTAAGTTTCATTACTATTTTTATTTTTTAAAATTTTGTTTTGCAAAGATTTCTAGATAAAATAACTCATTAAAAAGTTAAAAATAATTATAATTAAAACTTGAAGTTATATTGCATATGAACATAATTAAGTCGAGTTAATATAATACATACATAATTAAAAAACCTGGAAAATGATAATAATAAAATGTGCTTTTAATTAATATATAAATAAAATACCGCATTCAGTGTAATTTCAATTAAAAAATTAATTTAATTATTTTTGTTTTAGCCTAACTTGCAAATCTTTGTAATTGAATTACTCTGGCGGCCAAATATTGAATTTTAAACTGTGTACTTTTGAATAATTTAACATGTCGGATGATTGATTTATATCTTTTTATTTAGCATAAAAAGAAAGATCTTTTAATGGAAAGTAATAAATTAAAAAATATAAATCGAAATTCTATGGACGATTAATGATGTAAAATATTTGAATTTGAATACTGACCATCATTATCTTGATTTATCAGGGGGACATGAAATTTATGGATTTAAAATTTTACGGTACATTTACCAACAAGGGTTTTTATAACCAAATTTACTACTTTACGGCATACATAAATATTTTTTGTATATTGAGATCTGCAGAAGGCGTATTTTATTTTTACTGTTTTTCATTTCCTTTGTAAAGAATGTTAAGTATCCAAAAACAAGCTTTTTTAACGTCTAGACAAAGCACGTTTTTAAAGAAATATTTTTATTGGAAAATTTTGATATATTGCGATACGAAATAATATCCAATGAAAAGAAGCATTTTTATCCAAAGAAAAATATTTTCTCCAATGAAAAATATTTTTCTCTCATGAAAAATATTTTTATCCAATGGAAAATATTTTTCTCCAATGAAAAAATGCATTTTTATCCAATGAAAAAAATAGTTTATCCAACGAAATTGTATTAACAAAACATGTTTTTCAATGGAAAAAAATATTTTTATTGACAATTTTTATCTAATGGAAAAATTTATTTAATGAAAAACTTCCTTACCTGAAGGATCCGCTAGCGAGTCCTGATCTTCGGCCTGCGCGACGTGGTATTTTCTGTACCTGAACAGGTACTGAGCCCCGAGCAACGACGTGGCCAACAGCAAGCCGCTCAGAAAGAAAATGGCCGCGATGTGAACGGCGGACATTTTTAAAACGTTCGCCGGAAGAACTCCGACGCTCTGCGCGATCGGAATCGTGCTTATGTTGGTCCTGTAACTCATTTGACTGGCTTGCGCCAAAAAGCCCCCCCCGCACATTTGTCCCATGGCAGCGCTCTCGTCGGAGAAAAATTCCAAGAGCAAATTCGGTCCTGTGGAGTTTACGGTCGTCGGGGTCGTGCGAGGGACTCCCGTCAAATGCGTCAACAAATTTGAGGACAAAGAGCTACCGTCCCTTATTTTTAACCATTGCGTGCCGCAGGGTAGGTGAAACTGCTCCACTTTGAACTGTATTATGTTGTTTTGATCGGACTAAAACAACCACGTTTTTTGGTAATTTTTATCTAATGGGAATTTTTTATCTAATGAAAAAATATTTTTAACTAATGGAAACATATTTTTATCTAATGGAAAATATATTTTTATCTAATGAAAAATGTTTTTATCTAATGAAAACTGATTTTAATGAAAAAAATAAATGGAAAATTGTATTTACAAAGATTATTTTTCAAAAATAAAAATATTTTCGATTGGCAATTTTTATCTAATGCAAAAATACATTTTTTTATCCAACGGATTTTTTTTATGGATAAATTTTGATCTATTCAAAAATATTTTGCGATACCAAATGAAAAGATGCATTTTTTATCCAATGGGAAAATTAATTTTATCCAATGAAAAAGTATATTTTAAAATGAATTTTATTTAAAAAACTATTTTTTTTAAATAAAAATATTTTGATGGAAAATTTTTATCTAATGCAAAAAAAACATTTTTATCCAATGGAAAGAGTAAGACTTACCTGTATTAACCAAAACGTCCTTCCAGGGCAGCTTTGGGACGATGTAGCCAATAACCTTTTTGGTTTTGCATGTCCCAGATGCACCACGCAGCCACATCTACAGTAAGGTCCCACTTCTGCCTGCACTTCCGGTATTTCAGCCGCCATATCGCTGGCTGACACACTTCCGCCGTAAAAACACTCCCAATTATTGCCCAGACTCACCGCGCATTTTTCCGTCTCCACTGCTTTACCCTGGAAAAGATTTTTTGTTTATTTAAAAAAAGACGTTTTGTTTTTAGGTAAGGTTTATTTATTCAATCCAAAGATATATCATATTCAGAGAGACTTTCTTCTACTGTTAAAGTTCTTGAATCTTCTTCAATGTTATCACTACTTCCATTTCTTACAATGTAATCATGTTCAGTCTGTGTTTCTTTGGTTATTTTTTCTGGATATTGTCTGTCACCACCATCGTCTTTGAACAAAAAACCCAAATCACCTTTGGTGTAGATAGCGGAATTAATAGAGTCCAATGAAGGCTTTCTCATTGGAGTGTTCTCAACGTTTGTCAAAATATTTAGGAGTTTGTTTAGGAGTTCTTCTCGTTTTGCAGTTTTTTCCGATACTGTGGTGGCTGATAGAGCTTGCTCTATACCGCATATAGCCTCCATTAATATGGAACAAACTCTAACATTTTCGTCCTTGAAATATATGTACTCAGTTTTGAGGGCGTATTTATCGCACTCCATAGCGTGGAGTTTTTGTTTGAGCACACGGTTCACGTAGTTTAAGTTTTGAATTTCGTTGGTTTGCTCATCAACTTTACTGGATAACTTGTCGTTTTCTTCTTTGACTTTTTTGTTGACTTTAATTTCCGCTTCAACGTTTTTGTACTTTACCGTTAGTTGCTTTATCAACTTATTTTGCAACCTGACTTTCTCCAACGCCTTCATTTTTTCCTCTTCGTGCAGCTCAGCTATCTGCCGATATTCTCTGCTGCGTTTCTTTAAGGTGTGGTTGTCTTTGTATAACATATCCTGTTTTTTAACCAAGTCGTTTAACTCTTTGTTTATGGTTATGTTTTCTTTGATCACCCTGTGAGTTGTGGCGGCCATTTTCAGCGTTGTTTCTTTCTGAAACTCCTCGGCAACTTTCCTGACTCTGCTCTCCATTTCACTGCGAAGCTTGTTTTTGGCGATGATGAACTGCTTTTCGTTTTGGTAGAGTTGTTTTTGGTGCAGTGCTTCTTGTTCTTTAATATTTTTCTCTTGGTTTTCAAATTTTTGTAGCAAGTCTTCGCGTTGAATCCTGAACTCTTCCAGAGTGTTCAGTTTGCCTTCCAACAATTTGATTTCCGAGTTCAAGCTGTCATGCATTTGGTTGTACTTTTCGTCCTTATTTTTGATTATATCTTCGTATTTTTCGGTATCTTCGGTTCTAGTTTCATCGAGGCTTTTCACTCGTTCTTCAAGCTCGCATATTTCCTTCGTTTTTTCCTCTAGTTTTCTTCGCAAGAACGTAATTATATCGTTGCGGTCTTCGTCAAGTTTCTTGTAGCTTTCTCTGGCGTTCTCCTTTTTTTCCTCCAACTCTTGCGTGAGCGTTCTGAGACGCGTTATTTTTCTGTTTAGGTCCGCTATTTGTAACTCGTAGAAGGTCTTGTCGACTTCTGTGAGCTTATTCGGGTCGTCCACCGCTTCTTTTTTCTTTTTGCCTTTACCTTTTTTACCCTTCGCCATGTTTCACTGTTTAATAACGAAGGAAGACTAAATAAAGATCTTTGAAGTTATAGTAAGCAAGCTAGTGTTGTTTCTATAGAGACCGCGGTGGTATCGATTAAAGAATACAACATATTATTGATAAAACTCTACCCAAGTAACACATCGTTTTATTGTCTCAAACCTAAGGAAACATTAGAAGCAATTACGAGCCCTGTCTCAGTGAAGTTGGCCCAACCACTCAAAATATAAAATTTACAATTTTATGCGATAAAAAGCCAACATTTTTTATCATATGTAATTATTGGTCAATCTTCATGTTGTAAATTTTTTTTAAAAATATGTGTATGTATATTATTTAGTTTTAAGTTGGATGTTTGGTTACAATACAAAAAAATCGACAAAAATGCATTAACTTGGATGGCCAGATTTTTGAATGCAAGTCGACTGTGCTAAAAGTAAAGATAATATTTGACATTTAAATAATTGTAAGAAAGTCGGTAGTGACATTCCAGTATATATTTATGCTTTCGGTGTGATTGACAAATAATAATGCTGTTTCTGAAGAAATAAGAAAAGTGATAATTTACTTGCATTTAAAAAGAAAATCCGCTGCACAAATCGCTGAAACTGTTAATTTCTCACGATATACAGTGCGAAATATTATTAAACTGCACAAAACTGCAGGATCTGTGGCGCAGAAACCAAAAAATGGAAGTCGTCCTCACTATTCTGATAAAAATTTAAGGGCTTAAAGAAGAATTATCGTTCAAAATCGTAGGGCTAATTACGGTGAATTAAAAGTTTTGTGGAATCAGGCAACGAGTAAATGTTTTTCAAGAGCAACCTGTCATAGAGCTGCTAAAACTTACAAGGTTTGCTTATAATGTATACGATTTTTATTTATTTTTAATATTACTATCTGTAGGCAAAGGAAAAACCTTTATTGACAAAAAAACAGAAGAAAAATAGACTTCTCTGGGCAAAAGAGCACAGGACTTGGTGTCAAATCAATGGGATTCAATTATATGGAGTGACGAAGCTAGATTTGAAGTTTGCGTTGGTGATAATCGAAGCCGAGTCATTAGAACTAAAGCAGAAGTCTTTCACAATGACTGTCTTAAGAAAAAAGTAAAGTTTCCGGCCTCTGTGATGATTTGGGGATCTATGTCAGCTAAAGGGATCGGTAAATTACACTTTGTAGAGGGCATTATGAATGCTGATAAATATATTTACGTCCTAAAAAATAACTTAAAACCGCAAATTGAAGAAATGCGTTTAAATGATATTGAATGCATCTTCCAACAAGATGGTGCAGCTAAAAAAGTGAAAGCTTGGATGATAGAAAATAATATTTCACTTTTAAAATGGACATCTAGTAGTCCAGATCTTTCGCCTATAGAAACTTTGTGGCATATTATGAAAAAGAAGCTCAGAGAACAGCCCGCAAGAACCGTCTTAGAGTTGCGTGCTCGCCTGCAAGAAATTTGGAATAATTTTACGCCGGATGATTGTCAAAAATTGGTTGACACCATGCCGAGACGTATACAGGCAGTAATAAGCCATAAAGGAGATGTTACGCAGTTGTAGTTTCCAATTAAAATGTATTTATTTAAAATATTTTTTTTTCTTAATTTTTGGTTTACGGACAATATACGAGAATTTTAAATATATTTTTATTAGGTACTTAAAACTACAACTTAACGGTGGAAAATTTAATAAACGTTATTTATTTAATTAAAACAATGTGTTAATTTTAAATAATTACCGTATAATATTCTAAATATCTTCGAAAAACTATTTTTGTTAGTTGGGCCAACTTCACTGAGACAGGGCTCGTATGTTAGATATTTACCTCGCAAAACTTGGCTCCGTAGCGTGGAGGCGGGGAATCGCAAAAACGATAACGACTTCTTGTGCCTCCAATGCAAGTGCTCGAGCATGGGGTCCATTTACTCCATTCACCCCACCCCCCACTTTCCGACTCTAAAATAATAAAAAAGGGCGATGTTATTAGAAAAGGGCACTGAAAGATTAAGGTAAATATTAAATTGTCGAGAAATACCACAGGATCTACTTGGGTTCATGTAATTTAAGTTAGAGAGATAGTTAGACCCCCAAATGCATAGAAAAATGTCTAAAATGCCAATGACATTATTGTTTCAAATTAAACTCTTCTATTCTTTCAACAATTATCTAATTTTCTGTCTGCCTTATCTCCCATATGAGTCAATCCAAATGAAAACACCAAAAATGAATTTAAAAGTGCGCTGCATGATTTTTTATTTTAATGAAAAAATTTGAGAATGATCTTTTAGGTATCATATATGAAAAACCGTTGCTGTTTTAATTTTTAGTTGCTTTATTTTTAATCGGCACCCTTTAGAAACCTGAAATCGTGTCATTTTCTTACTCTCTTATAAGAGGCTAAAACTATTTTTCTGTGGCAATTATTAAAATGATTGTAATTTTATTTTACTGCCTAGTAAGTATGTTTTCAATATTAATTACTATCAGAGCTGGGCAGTAATTGACTTGAAAGTGCTTGAAAAAGTGCTTCAAGCACAATAGTGCTTCGAGCACAGTGCTTGCAAGCACTTCTAAAATACAGTGCTTGGTAATTGGTAATTGAAGCCCTTTATAAAAAGTGCTTGGTAATTGGTAATTGAATTTCGCATTTCAAGCCATTTGAGTGCTTGCAAGCACTTAAAAGGGCTTGCAAGCACTATCAGATTTGAGGGCTTGCAACCCTGCTTAAAATACCCCATAGAGACCCTGTTCAAACCGATAGATATATAGGGTGTATCGGTTTGTATAGGACCCATAGTTGAGATTTATGCTTGTTCTATAGGGATATCCACCATTGATTTATTTGCTATCGGTTTCAATGGGGAAAATACACATAAATGTAGAAATTAGTTTTTTCCCTATAGGACCCCAAAGGTTTTAATAAAATTTTGTCAAATGTTTTATGGTTGCTCTATAGGGATATCCCTATATAACCTTCATTGAGTTCTTTTCTATCGGTCTCAATAGGGAAAATATAAAAGTTATGGTGTGCCTATAGGTAATTTCCTATACATTTTCTATCGGGCTGTATCCGGAAACAACCATGGACAAATGCACATATTGATTCCGGTAGCGCCCGATAGATTATTTTGTATAGGTCTCTATGGGGTATTTTAAGCAGGGAAGCATTTAAAGTGCTCCCGAGCACTTTAGACTCTAGAGGGAAATGCCCTTAGTAACAACCCTGTGGTTTCATCATCTTCTAATGCGGTGTGCGGTGCAGCATAAGCTTTAATGTGATTAGTTGGTTGAAGGGCGACTTGCCAGTACCTTTCTCCTTCTTGCAGATAATTTGTACTTATTTTTTGATGATTTCTTCACTTTAATTGTTTTGCGTCATGTTGTGTGGACTAATAAATTAAAAACAAAAAACTTTGGTTTGGTTTGGTTATTTTAATATAACGATCATCCAAAAATGTTTCTTACTTTTAAAATAAAGATGTTAATTAATTGGGTAGGAAGCAATTGGAAATATAAAAAGTGCTTGGTAATTGGTAATTTATTTAAGAAAAAAGTGCTTGCAAGCACTTTTTGAGTAATTGGTGCTTGGTAATTGAATTTTTCAATTACTTTTCTCGGTAATTGGTAATTGCAAGCACTTAAGTTTTCAAAGTGCTTGATGCTTGGTGCTGGCAATTACTTTTCCAAAGGGCTTGGTGCTTGGTGCTCGAAGCACTTTTTTTGAGTGCTTTGCCCAGCTCTGCACAGGAGCCAGACAAAAAACACAAAAATTTGCAAGTTATTACAAATCTTTAGTGGTTTACCAGTCTTTTATGAGATGAACTAATTAGATAATAGTAATCAAACAAGCAAACAACAAATATATCTATCGGTTTGAACAGGGTCTCTATGGGGTATTTTAAGCAGGGTTGCAAGCCCTCAAATCTGATAGTGCTTGCAAGCCCTTTTAAGTGCTTGCAAGCACTCAAATGGCTTGAAATGCGAAATTCAATTACCAATTACCAAGCACTTTTTATAAAGGGCTTCAATTACCAATTACCAAGCACTGTATTTTAGAAGTGCTTGCAAGCACTGTGCTCGAAGCACTATTGTGCTTGAAGCACTTTTTCAAGCACTTTCAAGTCAATTACTGCCCAGCTCTGCTCCTGTGCCTATTCTGCTAAATCTAGAAAGTTGCTTTTTTTCAGGTATCAACTACTTATACAATAGAAAACGTAACTATTATTTTAAGTTTCTAGACTATCATTTATTATTGAAACTTGATAATTTTTAAAATTAGTCAATTTTGCCCTCAGAAATCATTATGTTGAGAAAAAAATAAAAATCTGAAACTTTCAGGAAATGTAGTCCCCACCTTCATCTTTTCAGTCCAGTTAGTCTTGTTTTGTTATTTTTATTCCTTTAAAAGATATATTAATTTTTTTAATACCCGTTTAGTAGCAATAGGTATTGTTAGTTTTATTTATAATTTAAAATTTACATGGCTTTCATGTTTGGTGGAGAAGTGTCAGAACTGTCAAAAATATTTCATAAATATTATTTGTGCGTATTTCTTTGGTAAATTTTGTTTATAACATAATATGTCATATTAAACTTTTTAAAATCACCAAAGGAATACCACAAATAATATTTATGAAATATTTTTGACAGTGCTGATATATTTGGTAGTTATGTTATATTTTATGTATTGTATAATCATATATATTTATATATTATATACAATATACAATATATAATTTACACAATCTGTAAATACTTCTTTAAATTTTAGTTTTTAGGTAACTGGTTAAAATAAAACATGTTATAATAAAGGAGTTTATTTAGAATATTTTTTGGTTTTTGCTTATTTTTAACAATTGAAAACTTCTCAGTACTTGAATATTTTCTATGAGAAAGAGGTACAAAATTATGATATGTTCTTGCATTTTTAATTGCAATTTAATTCATGAATCTCGAACACTCCGTCATTTATTACACTTGCAAACTTGCAAACTTTTTGAAATCACAATTTAAATACGCACAAATAATATTTATGAAATATAGTTCTGACATTTCTCTACCAAACATGAATTGACTAAGTCAAAGCCATCTAAATTTTAAATTAAAAATAAAACTAACAATATCGCTTCTTAACTGCATTAAAAAAATTATTAAATCTTTTAAAAATAACAAAACAAGACTAACTAGACTGAAAAAATGAAGGTGGGGACTACATTTCCTGAAAGTTTCAGATTTTTATTTTTTTCTCAACATAATGATTTTTGATGGCAAAATTGGCTAATTTTGAAAATTATCAAGTCTCAATAATTTTTTTAATAAAGAAAATGATAGTCTAGAAACTTAAAATAATAGTTACCTTTTTTTATTGTATACCTGAAAAAAAGCAACTTTCTAGATTTAGCAGATTAGGCACAGGAGCAGGACAAAAATCACAAAAATTGGCAAATTATTACAAATCTTTAGTGGTTTACCATTCTTTTATGAGATGAACTAATTAGATAATAATAATTAATATTGAAAACATACTTACTGGGCAGTAAAATAAAATTACAATCATTTCAATAATTGCCAAAGAAAAAAGTTTTAGCCTCTTATAAGAGAGTAAGAAAATGACACGATTTCAGGTTTCTAAAGAGTGCCGATTAAAAATAAAGCAACTAAAAATTAAAACGGCATCGGTTTTTCATATATGATACCTAAAAGATCATCCTCAAATTTTTTCATTAAAATAAAAAATCATGCAGCGCACTTTTAAATTCATTTTTGGTGTTTTCATTTGGATTGACTCATCTCCCAACTGTACTTTGCTAACTCGTTAAAAATCGACTTAATAGTCTCGACTCACTCTATTCAAGTGATTGTTACGTTAGTTAGCTGGTCTGTGAAGAATCAGGTTACTGACCACCCCCTTTAAAACTTCAATCAATATGGAGAAAATATTTAGGTTATTGATCCAAAAGGCTTTCCCAGAACATTTCGAGTGAAAAATATAATAAGGCGTCTAAAAAACTAAAATATTTTCGCTCGATTAACCTAACTCAATTGGAAAATGACGTTTTCACGGATTTTCCGTTCTGATAAATTGCTGAAATCGGATTATTTCGGCTAAAGAGGTTCGTAATTAGTGGCTACGAGAAAATATTGAAAAAAGTCTAGTTATTAAAAGACATTTATAAAGTTTTAGAAAGATTGACCGTCTGGTTTCCGAGTAAAAAGTTGCTAAGACTACGCGGGATGTTATCGTTTATTAGGTAACTACCATTATTTCGGTTTTAAAGTAGATTATTTAAAAAACACAATAATTGTATAATTTGTTATAAACTTATAATTTTTATACTGTCGCTTTATTTTAAATAATACTGCATATAGAAATGTCAAATGCGCATTGAAAATCCTCCACTTTTCACTTAATATATGTTCATTATTTTTTCATACAAAAAAAGATAACCAGAGTTCTCCCCCTGATTTGAATTATATTGAGGGGGAAAGATTGGCTTTTCTATTAGCCTGTATGGAATAACTGTGTAAGGCATAAAGTAACGGTCTTGTGCATAAGTGTCTACATACGTATAACTCCAATGGGGCCTTTTGTGTTTATTGATTTTTTTTATGAAAACGCAAGTAAGGAAATTTGGCTTTGAATATAAACTTAAAGTGCCAAAAATATTTTTTGTTAAATTTTTAAACTAGATGTAAACAATTTAAATAAATTGATTGAATTCACTTATACTATCTCAGTCGGTAATAATATAGAACTAATTTATTTTGGGTCCAATATAGGACAAAAAAGTTCGCATGTTACTTTGGTGGTAAGATTTTTGTTTTTTTGTTAAGAGCATACACGGTGTGCCTGAACGAAGTTTAAGTCACATAAAAATGCCGCCAAAAACTGACTGCAGTTTCTTGTTCGGGACCCTTTGGTGACTTAAAAATGATATTTACCAAAATCCTAGCTG